GTATTGGGCGTTTTATTTATTTCCATGTTGGCTACGCCGTAATATGCAACCACTTCCCCGTTTTATTGTGATTTTGAGTGTTTAATGATGTCTTCCTCACCCGTCACGCCATGACCCAGTTTCAACCACACGGCCATTTTGCAACACAGTTCGTGACCCTCGGCGTCACCCGACTGACTATATGAACGTTCTGTTCAACTGTTAAGCTAGGATTTATCACCGTTATTATCATTATATTGTCACGTGATTTGTTTTACCTTATGTGTAATGTCTTAAGTATCTTTATTGTAATTTGTATATACCAATTCGTATATACCGAGGAAACGACCCCGATTGAAGGTCATGTATTTTATGACATCACCAATTCCTGTGTAGGTACTGCTTCTAGATCTGTGCCCATTACTGGCTTAGATCTAATATAAAAAAATATCATGTATTTCTGGTAACCAATCTTGTCTAGAGATTAAAGCTGGGGAGTTATCACCTGCGCATGCGTCAGATGGCCATAGTGTGTCATTGTTTACAAACAAGCATCTACTGATCATGAGCCTTTGTGTTTTTAGCGTGTGTTGTTATCGTTGATTAGGACTCAATTCCAGTGCGTGCGCAGGTGACGACTCTCTCGCTTTAAGTATGCTGGCACTGTATTCTTTTTATGGCTAAAATGGAAAGTGACCACAGGGAAGTGTTCACTTTTTTTTTCGAGCTGAATACTGGGCAAATCTTTCGCACAAATATTACGACCCTTACATTTTTGATATATACCACAATTATGCGGTATATATAGTCTCACTAGTCCATTTGGAGGAGTGATCACTAATCTGTTCAGATTATATGAGTTACATGTAACACTCTCTCAATTTTGACAAGACTTTTTATTTTTTAATGTTTTTGTGGCAGGCGACAGTTCTGGACACTGACTGTCACTGTTGTCTCTCCTGACTTTATTTAAGTGCAAATTGCAAATGCTAGTGCTGACACATAGTTCATTTTGCCATGTCATGTTTGGGACTACATGACAGGGCTGTGTGTCCTGTGACAGGACAGGCCATCTCTCTATCAAATGGCTATCGTGGAGTCAACCAGGCTCGGTCGAACACAAGCACTTATCCAAGATCTTAACCAAGGCTCCCCCAATGTCGCATTCAATAGTGAATGAATCTCGGCCAGTGGAATTGGCCTTCCCATTGAGTCTGTGGCACACTCACCCAGGGTAGGGGTCGACCCTTTCAAGGTAGGATTTGAACTTGGGTCTACCGATCATGAGGCTGATGCGATAACCACTATGCAACCAGTGACTGGTAGATTTAGAAGAGATTTTGATAACGCAACTCTTGTGATTACTTAACTCAGGAGATCTATTTCTAGATCATGAATCATTAAAAAGGTCGATAGTGTGTAGGTCATAAATTACAGATCCACATATCTCCAAAGAGAACTCCAGATAAGAGATGGAAGGAATGTAAGCAGGGTTAAAATAATAACAAAAATGGTATTACTACCGTACTAACCATTCCTAACCTGACATTAGCAGGTCTGTCTAACAATCGCCTTCGCTTTGTTCGATGTAAGATGTCATCAACGACAGTCTGCAAAGAACCTGTCTCATCTTCCTTGATGGCTTCCCTGCAAGTATAAGATGCAATACAGTAAAATCTTAAAATCTTGTGATAGAATTTTTCATGAATACCGCATATGAAAACAAATCAAGAAAATTTTGTAGCAGTAAAAATTCCATCAAAATTATTAATTATCAATAACTATAACCTTGGACAAAAGAAATAAAATTAAAAAATGTCATTGAATAACATAATCTGTGACTACAAAACATCATAAATTTAAATAAAAACAGATTTTAATATGTGCAGTAAATTCAAACACCAGAAGAGAAAGAAAACTTAAAAACACAACAAATAAACAATTAATTGGTTTAGAGAGCCACTGTGAGTTATCAAGTATAAGAAATTTTTATAAAAGTTTGAACATGAATATGTCAGATATACATCTCCAAAAGTGAATTTATTAAAACCCGATGGTGGCCATTCGGCCATTTTAAATCCGATCTGAAAAGCAATCTGATCAAGACTCATAATGTCCAATATATTTACCAAGTTTGAACTAAATCCACCCATACACAACCATAATCCAGTTCGAGAATAGCAAAAATGCATGATTTTGATGAATATTAGACCAAAAATGACGCAATTTGGCCATCTTGAATCTGATCGTTTGAGTACATATATGGAGCAAAGTGTGCTTGAGTCCATTATGAGTTGGCAGGGAGTTCATTATTGTTATTATTTCGTGGTGCTGCCAATACCAGTGGATTTGCTGCCACTAAAAAACAGAAAATTTGGAGAAAAATCCACAGTGAATAGAACAGTTTTACAGTCACTGGCCCGTGAATCTGAATAATTTAAAATGTCTTTATGGAAATACTTTCCACATTCTCATATGGCAAACTAGTTTTCATCTAGTTTACATGTATTTAAATCATTCACATTGTGAGTGAATGATGTGTGGTGTGAAGTAGCATCATAGTGATCGCCTGAGCGAACGACACACTGTGACTGGTACGCCATTTCGGTGTCTGCCACGGCATTGCACTACGCTAAGCTAGATCGCCGTGCATACATGCCGGGGTACATGTACGTACTCGTATCGTTACCTGTATCGTAAGGTAGATGTTATTGGCAACTGTCCTGTCTGTGTAATATTTATTTTCAAATTCTATGGGAGGCCGGTGATTTGACAAATACTTCAAAGCCAAACAAAATTTATAGGCATAGCGAGCAATCACCGGAAAACTAGTGGGCGTTTATCTGACTGTATAAATATAAAAAACACACCTGAGAACACAAATACTTTCATTTGTTTATGCAAACTGTGCCCCGGACTGTGACATTTACCGGGAAGTCAACACTAAGGAAATACAAGTCATGTCAGTCTTTCGACGATCTTGTTTCACAAATAGTGTAGTACTAATCACTACAAAAACAGAACACATTCATCTCTCTGTACTGACACTCTGTAGACATAGCCCTACTTTGTTTATTGCAGTAGCTTGGATAAATCACCTTGGTTTACATTACATGTACTTCATCAACACGATAGGGCGACCTAGTCGGGAGGCCACCAGTACAGGAAATCAGTCATGGAATCTAGGAGCAAGCGTACAGAGCAGACGACGATGCCCTCACAAAATTGTCTGATTTTGATATTGAAATCCACTGTTATTGGCAATGGACCATTTTATTTGATAACGATTTCAGTATTAAATACTTGTTATCTAACAATTTCTATTCTTTTTACATAGTTTCTCTTTCATTGATTTTCGAAAACAACATTGTATTCATACCCATGTCATGGGGCCTTGATTATTGCGAATAATCTGCTGCAATGGTATTGAAAATGTTATAATATAATCTAGTAATAATTATTCATTATTAAATAAAGAATTGTCAGTTCCTTTCTACTTTTTTAATGTCTTACCATGTGCGTTCATAGTCCCCCTCCCAGATGTAGGTTTTCTCATTTTCGTCATCCATTCTTTAATTAGCAGTGATTTCTAGCTTTCAGACTGTATTGCCGTTGGTGGCGTGATATAACAGTAACTTCTCAGTTCAAGAACCCTGTCCGTTTCTATCGCACGTTTTGAAAAATTACTCTACAAGAAACTATTTACTTGTAAGCGTTAATCGTGTACAATATATGTTGTATATCAAGCATTATTTTACACGAAGTTAAAACGAATAAAACGTCGAAAATCCTACGATATTTCCGAACACGAATCGTTCACCATGGGCGCATCCATCTTTAAGACGAATTAAATTTATTTATTTATTTTTAGTACGTATTTCATCGCAAATATCTTCAAGACCAGTTGTATCATAATTCAAAATTAATTATTTTATTCAAAAAATCATTATATGTGTTTTTAACTATACAATAGTTGATATGGTTTCTGTCGGAATGTTTGAATTATTTTAGATGAAGTTGTAAATGAAACAATGAGCTAATAATACAGCAGCATACTCAGTATCTGAGTGAGAGCGTTTCCGGTGACCCGACATGACCTGACTATGGATTTCGTCGTTTGACTTTCAGTGTTATTATAATTATGTGTGGAAATTTCGTTGTCTGAAAGCAGTAATTATACTGAAGATGATTAGACTTGCTTCGGGTTCCTTTGGGTAAGTCAAATTTAGTTACGAATATTGCAACCTGCAACCTGAAAGTTGCAAAATTGAGCAGGGGATGGGCTATCGAAGTATCGTATATCGTTACATTCGTTATCGTCACGGAACTAGAAGTTTCCTAAATATGACTGTAAATAGAAAATAATTGAAAAAAATTATATATATGGTTCATTATTTTGTTTCGCTTATTTCTGTTTAAGCGATGGTGGTGTCTGTGATATTGAACGGTAAAGTTTTTGTCAGTGATGCAACTAGAGAATTACTTACACGTCCAAGTATTTATAAGATTAAGGTAGAGATGTAGTTTACCTGACAGGTATTTTAATTAGTTAATTAGGAAACCAAGATGACCTCCCTTGTCCACAAAACTATATATTTTCGGAAAGCTTATTGTATGAATTTTAATTTTTAATTTCACGACTTCAAGTTTATGCATAAATTAACACTCAGGCTAGTTGTCTGTAAGATTGTTGTAACACTGTTCAACCAAAGACAATGCCCCGACGGCGTTTTGAAGATAAACACATTGTCAATCATTTGTAAAAATTTCAAAACAAAAGGTCAAAGCGTCTAGGAGCTATTTTTTTTAAAGTTCTGGGATGTGCACTAAAAAGAAGCTGAGATAATTGCTAATTTGCATAACAATTCACTCAGTAAGAAGTTTGCTAATGCTCATAATTTAAAATGGCTGTAACAGTTTCAAATTTAAATGTATTATCGTTTTGTTAAAAGTTAATTATATTGCATAATATGAAGATCCCGTCATTTCTTTTTTTCAACATGTTTCTTTTTTATTATTTATGTACAGCCTTGCTAAATCTTGCTAAAAATTCAAAAGAGAGAATGTTTGCACCTGTTATCAATATTTTAAAATCGTTTTTTGAGCACAAACATGCATCTCTACCTTAAGGGGTGCCGTCTATGATTGTTTTTTTTGACATGCACTTTCCAATTTTTAGCCGATGCGTTAGGGGAGCGACTCACAATCATGGTCTCCCATTTTATCCCTTTTTTCTGGCTAACAATAACACTCTTTGCAAACAGTTTGTATTTATATCATTAGATGTCCGTTCAAAATTGGTGATCTGAAAAAAAAGGTTTTGAAAACAATTAACCTGTTTTTCCTCAAAAGACGCATTTGTTATTTTGTCAATGCTCTAAGCCTTGTAACTGCAGACAGGTTATAGTATGAGCTCTTGTCCGAAGTTGAGCCTTTTTTTCACATGGGTATCTTTTTGTTTGGTTGACCATGTTTGCGTTTCTGAAATTTCCCAGTCATTGTAACAAGTGATATTTCTCTTCCAAATACAAAAGTACAACTGTAGACCACACTCAAAATTCTGTGATCCTTTTCATTTAGAGTGGTTTGGACATACGTCAAACCAAATGCAGCAACCCTGAAATCTTGCTCATCGTACATAATCTTCTGTAATTCGCGAAATTGAATCGCAAACATCACGGTAGATCCAAGTCGATTGATCCTCAAGAAAATCATGTAGCTTTTTATCATATTTCCCAAACTTAATTTACTTAAACGTAATTTCGCTCTGCAAATTTTCGTGATGCAAATTGTTATGTTCATTCCCAGTGTAATTTAAGTATTCATGGAGATAGCTGAATTGCACAATACAAAGAAAGTTATTTTTAGTGATTAATATTATTAATATTAGTGCAAAAATTTCAAACAGAAAAAATATAAAAATGGAAACAAGTACGCAAAGGTGAAACAAGATTGATTTTTTTTTAAAAACAAGAAACATCAACATGAAAATAATATAATTATTGTTTTAACAGAATTTAGAAGGATTTTGGTATTTGCTATTTTTATATTAGTCACATTTATTTTTAATGTATATTAATGATTGAATTTATGGTGTATTTGTTATGAAAATGAATAATAAGAATAATTTATGGTTTCCCTTTATCAACAGCCCTTATTGCAGCCAATGTCTGAAAGCTGCCAGTCTAGGTCAACAGCAGTATGGAAATAAAGTCATAGTTCCTTACAGAACTATGATGCAGAGTGCATATCGTCCATGCATCATTGGAGCTAAAAGACTGACCGTTTCATATTCAACTTTGACCAGAAATAGAGTGGTACATTACCGGAGAGCTTGGTTTATCACTCCAGCAGCAGTCAGGAGTATGGGAACCGCAAGTAAAGTGAAATCTATACTCAAACTGTTTAGATTACGATATATTGTACTACCGGGTATCCTCATTGGAGGGACCATACTGAATTCTGTAAGTATATCATTTGTTTGTAAATATTACTACAAAACGATATGTGTCGATGAGAGGGAGAATAATCCACTATTATTTCCCTAATTATTACTGTGATATTCGTTTGTATTATTGATTCAATATTATTCAATTGTGTTTCAGTGCTTTCTTGAATTTCTTATATTGTTATTGTGTATTCAATTCAATCGTCTTTATTACATGTTTAACTCGAAGAGAACTAGCACAAATAACGATAACAGACGTCATTTCAATGCTATTCTCTTATTAACCAATCATAGCTCATAGCACAATGAACTAATCAGCACCAAGCCTGCTAAAATTTGTTACAGTGGCTGAACCTACCAAGGCTATAAAAGGCCTTGTTTTAGCGCGCGAGTACATCTAACTCTTTCCAGCTTAGGAGTAAAAGCAGTTTATTGATACCGTGTATTTGTTCCCTGTTCCTTTGATTGGCAGTCCCTTGTTTTACGCGTGTTGAGATAAGTGTGAAAACCTATTCTCAATTCCCCCCACAATATGTATGGTGTGTAATTCTACTTTGGATTCATGCTAAACATAATTAACTTATTTATGTAGTGTTTGATGTTATAAGTTCATTCTGATGCAGTGGCAACATAAGCGAAATAGTTGTTCTATAAATTCAAAAGGGTAGAACCAAATGGCTATACAGGAAATAGCTCAATTTTCTGGTGTGTACATGTATCTAAGACCAATCTTGATAAAGAACACTTCATATTGAATATTCATTTTTTGATGTGGTGCATCTTTGATTGTCTCCCTAAAATGCTGAAAACTTAATCACAAATGAATCTATGAAAACCCTCAACTCCTGGCATGAAACTGACATGAAATTGAAAATTGTAATTGTTGCTTTTTTGTTATTACATGTATATATTACACATGTAAAAGCTTCAAACAGAATTTGTTTTGTTAGATAATACAAGTGCTGACATATAGTGCATTTTACAACAGAAATCATATTCCATTTTAAGACTAAGTGATTGAGCTATGTGACCATCTTCCATTATAATGGCATTGTGGCAATTTAATGCACTATCCTGGTGTCAACCAGCCCAGTGGAACACATGCACCATTTTTGTTTTCAACCAAGGTATGACCTTGAGTCTGCCGATCATGAATCCAATGTAACAACCACCACACTACCAGTGATTGATGCAGAATGTTGCTGATGATACAACTTCATGGACATTCAATGTTTTATATTAGAGTGGACAAAGTATCTCATGCTTTTGTTTTTGTTCTATTCATTTCCACTATTTCAACCAACCAACTACTATTTCTACCCATCAACCACTATTTTTACCAATCAACCACTATTTCTACCAACCAACCACTATTTTTACCAATCAACCATTATTTCTACTCGTCTACCACTATTTCTACCTGCCCATCAGTATTTCTATTCGCCAACCACTGTTTGTATCCATAAAATAACAAAGAACAGAAAATAAAATGTCTTTTACTTTTGTTTTTCCTCCACAGACATATAATTCCTGGATGGAGAAGATTCCTGATTTCTCATGGATGAAGGATTATGTACCAGATGAAGAACGGTTCAAAAACTTCTTATCGCAAATGAAAAAGTTCAGCAGTCATTTCAAACTTCCAGAGAAAGGTTGGCTGAGGAACAGTTTACACAAAGTTGAACGTATCAAAGATAGGGTTTCCGAGGGTAGTTTTGTCAGTGGATGGAATGCAATGGCCCCAGAAGGTATCTAAAAATGAAATCATACTTGGCCAGTCAAAAACTAAACTTGTATTTGTTCATACTCAATTATACCTCTGCACATTGTTTTGTTTTCGCTTTATAGGATTCTGTTGACTCATTTTGCTGAATGTGTATGTGAATTTTGACCTCAGCTTCAAACAATTAATAGCTATGTCTAGCTTTAGGCAGTCACCTCTTTTGTGTACAAATGTTTTATCAAGCCTCTGCATTCCATATCTGCTTTGCTAATTTTGTGCAAGAACTTGTTTATGATTGGCTGCCAAACTAAACTAACATGGCGACAAATGCAAACTTAACTTTGATTGTTTGCTGAATGCTTTGCCACCTGGTTCTTATCCAATTATATGACCAATAGAAGAATTGTTTCTAAATCCGCATTTGTGTTGAAGCTCTTATAGAGGTGAAGCCAGATGTAACCAGTTAAAGCCAGTCATAACCAGTTAAAGCCAGTCATAACCAGTAGAAGCAGGTCATAACCAGGAAAAGGCAGTCATAGAAAGTGGAAGCCAGTCATAAATAACTTGAGTTCAAGAAAATATTGCCCCCTCGCTGTTTTCACCCAGTTTGTAATTATTTTTGCGTTCTACTTAGTGTTTCATTTTTTTTAAGCAAGACACTTGACAAGCAATCTTGAACTATAGAATAATCAAATTATCACTTTTAATACAGAAAAATATTTAATAAAACAGTAAGATGCAACATTCTCCATATGTTGGATTCGTGGCTAAAACTGCCAAACATTTTGTATTTTTTTGTTTGTTTATTTGTTTGTGCATCATTATCTCCAGGGTCCAACATTCTTTCGGATGGCTTTGATCAGATGTCTCAGAAAGCTCATAGTTTATTCAGTTCAGGAGGTCTGTAAATTTTAGCGCTAATATAAACGCTTTTTCATTTGTAGTGATTAGTGTTGAGTTTTTATGCTATCGATAAATTAATAGGAGTTTATCGATGTGGCAACTGTGTGATTTGCACTTTTTGCATGATTATTAGATAACTGTGGTTTTTGTTTTAAGGCGGAAGAAGGAAATGTCACTCTTTTATCATCTAATTGTCATGACCGAATCATACAGTGACTAAAGTATGCGTTTCTCTGAATCACCTGGATACAAACATTCCAATACTATTTATTGGTCTGCTATTCTGCCTTACTATTGTACTCTCAGAAAGACATTTGACAGAAAGTCAAAGTTTATCCTGTCAAACTTTACATGCAACATTTTGCCCTTTTGTGTATATAATTCTTTAATTTTGAATCAAATGAAAATTTGTTTATTGGTTTACAGTCTTGGTCACAAGTTTCGATAAAATTTTAATGCATGATATTGGTTTATTTTGTGAAAGGTGAGAAAAATTGGCATTGCAAAGGTTAAAATGTTTCACCTACACCTGTGTTAGTAACCAATTAATTCGTGAAAACTTGGACTGACCAACAGCAAACCCAGTATGTAGGGACAATCTCAATTTCAACTTATCCAAGGCACTGAACATCTGTTTGACTATACAGTGGCCCCTCGCTAAGTCACGCCTCGGTAAGGTGCGATTCGGCTAAGTCGCGGGTACTTGGATGGCAAAGCACACAACTCAGATACGACGACTTTGAATTTGAGGCCAGTTCAGGGTGGTTCTTGCGATGGCAAAGAAGACACGCTAGCGATACACGCAGTCTCAATCCAAGGC